CTACGAATGCAGCGAGTGTAAATACTTTACATAGAAGTGTAGTCATTAGTTATAAGTAGTTTTTAAGGGTTTTACGGGGTTTATTTTAGTATATATTTATATAGATACATTTGCATACCTGGGGCTTGCCGGATTTTGTAAGTGACAAGTATTTGACGTGAACCGGAGTAACCATTCGTCTAGAGGGTGTTTATTAAATATTTTAAGGGTACTACCTCCAACATCTTGTTTCCTGTATACAGTAATATTTTAGATATTATATTATAAAACATTTTATATTTTTCATATCTTCTTCTTCTTTTATTGGGCTATATCCCACAGGATAATTTACCCAGCCAACAACGGGAAGAGTATCCTTGTCTTACTCTCAGCAATTGGATACCCTCTATTAAATTGATATATTTATATATTTCAAAGTAAAAAGCTGATTAATGTTACTACTTGAGTTATATATGTAGAGGGGCATAGAAAGTTAGTACATAGACATCACAACACAGGATAAAACTTTTCTCGCTTGGGGGCAGTCGCCAAGCTGAACACAACCAGGAAACTGCCAACGGTAAATGTAAGGAGCACCTAGGACTGAAAAAGAGGATAATGTATGAGGATTATAATTGAATTTTAAATATATTTAAACATTTGATTAGAATGTTTAATCTGGTATTATTGAGGTTAGCCAAGTTCAGAGTATAAATCGAAGTTTGCCATCATATTTATGGGGCATTCAAAGATAATGTGGTTTAGTGAGCCAATTTGACCACACTCACAAAATGGATCATCTTTTACTCCTATACGAAATAAGTGAGATGGGGATAGGCAATGTCCTGTCCTGATCCTAATTATTGTAGTTAAGTGTCTTCTGTCCTTGTAGGGAAAATTTAAAAACCAAGGGATTTTATCAAATCGTGAAACGACTTTGGAATAAAAGGAATTCTTCCTACTGTTGAGGCTATTCCATTGTTCAAGCTCTTGAACTCACAATGTTTCTGATGAATGGAAAGAAATTATGATAGTTTAGTTTGCCAATTGGTCTGCCTTGAAGTTGCCCAGAATCCCAGAGTGGCCTGGAATCCATGCCAGAATTATTTTGATATGTTCATCTTTTGCGAGTAAGATACCTTCCTTAGTCAAGAGGGAACAATGTTCAGTTTCCCTGGAAAAACATGATCTTGCTATTTTTTGAAGTGCCGCTTTGGAGTCTGAGAGGATAATGGATTGAACGATGTTTTTGTCTAATATAACTTGCAAGGCCTTGTTGATAGCTACAACTTCAGCTGTACAAATTTGAGTATGGAGAGGAAGCTTACTTGAGAATGCATAATCTATATCTGGACTATACACTCCAAACCCTGAGTGACCGGAAGAGTCTATTGAGCCATCGGTAAAGAACTTAATAAAAGATGGGTATTTCCTGATAATATTCTGATATTGTACAGTTCCTATACTTTCTGATTTAGTAGCGCCAATGTTTACTATAGGAATGGAGGCCAATTGGGGTTGGAAATCAAATTTATAACATGGTAAAAGCTCTGAAGTATATAGGTGAGGATTCACGACATCAAATTGACTGATCAGCTGGATTAGTAGAGGATTACTTTTGTTGTTCCAGTAGGTAGAGAACCCACATATTCTTTCTAGTTTTCTTAAAGCAGTGATAATGGGATTGTTTACCAAAGACATATTTTTAATTAAGTACTTAAGGCATAGACATTGTCTTCTAAATTTAAGATGGATTTCATCTGTCTCTATCAATAAGGCTAGAATTGGGGTAGATTTCATACACTCTGTGAAGATACGAAGGCTTTGGTTCTGGAGTGTATCTAACTTCTTTTGTATATCCTGGGAACATGGTATTATAATTTGACATCCATAATCTAAGTGGGACAAAATGATTGATTTATGTAAAATTTTTAATATTTGTGGGTCACATCCCCACCAAGTTCCACAAAGAGCACGCATAACACTGAGGTTACGATTGATCTTTACATTTAATTCATTAAAGTGAGAATTCCATATAAGATTCTTATGAATGCTTATCCCCAGATATTTAACTTTATCCTTCCATTGAATGATTTGAGATTTATAGATGATATTAGGTAGAGTAATTTTAGTTACCCCTTTAGTGAATAGAATTGCCGAAGTTTTATGCAATGAGAGATTAAGGTTAAGTTTTTCCAACCAGGACTCTAATTTAAGCAAAAATGAGTTGATACGTGAAATCATATTGTAAACATTCGATCCATTAACCAGTATTACCAGATCATCAGCATATTGAATTAATTTAAAATTATTAGGCAGAATATCAAATAGAGACAAGGTATAGAGGTTAAACAAAATGGGACTGAGCGGAGAACCTTGAGGAAGGCCTTGATTAGTAGTTTGAGGACCATGGGTGTGACCCAAATTGTCTCGAATAAATAGTTCTCCTTGGACTAAAAAGGAATGTATTAAATTGGCCAAATCCACTGAGACATTTGCATCTAATAAAATGGAATATAACCTAGAAATATTAACTGAATTATATGCAGCAGAAATGTCAATAAAGAGACTAATAGTAAATTCATTAAGCGAGAAACCTATTTGTACTTGTGAGGTAAGATATACAAGACAGTCTGTACAGCCCCTGCCTCTTCTGAAGCCCAATTGTAAGGGATTAAGAATTTGGTTATTTTCCAAATGCCATTCAAGTCGATTTTTGATTAAGGATTCTTTGCCTACACAAGAGGAAAGGGAAATAGGCCTATAATTTGAAGCTACCATTTTATCCTTATTTGGCTTAATTATAGGCAGGATTAAGGATTGATTCCATTGTTGAGGAATTAAGCATGTTAGAAGACATTTATTAAAGATACTCAGAAGAAACAAGGAGCCTGACCGAGGTAAATTTTTTAGCATAGAGTATGAAATAGGTCTAAGCCTGCGGAAGAGTCTCGTTTCAAATTCAACACACTTGAGTATTCATTAAGAGTAAAGGAAGATTCTGAATGAGTTAAGCTATTAATTTGGCACACATTTTCCAGGGAAGAAGGGGAGAGAATGTTTAAGATTTCTTGCGCAATCGATTGGGTAGGCATTAGATTCGAGAGATTTTGTTTTAAACCCGAAATGTTGTTAATTTTATTCCAAATGGACTTCAGGGAAGAGTGACGATGGAGGGAACTACAGTACATCCTAAAGTTATTTTTTCGTTTGGATTTGAGAACTTTTCTAGTTGTAGCTATATTTTTTTTAACTTGAATGTAATTATCTAAATTTGGACTTTCCATAAAATTTCTAATAGAAGTTACCCTGTTTGATGTAAGTTCATTACATGAATCATCCCACCAAGGGATATGATATATAGCATTCCTGTTAGGCTTGAAGAAGGGAATAGTAGTATCAGCAACTTGATTTATTGTAGATATGAACTCATAATAGTTATCTTTGGTTAAGGAAGGAATAAGAGTAATCAGTTTATTAAAGTAAGAATTCCAATCTGCCTTGTTGAGGTTTCTTCTATTGTTAGGGGTAGCAGGGCCATTATTAGGGATTCCTATCTTACATTTGGTGGGGAAATGGTTACTAAAGCCTAAGTCCGGAATCACTTCCCAAGTTGATTTATGAGCCAAATCTATTGAACAAAAGGTTAAATCAACAACAGATTTACCACCATTTGGTGAAAAAATTCGTGTAGGAGAGCCATCATTTAAAAACACTCATTGTAGAAAATCTAAAGAAGTTATTATATTTTTACCGTTTGAGCTGTTTGAGGAGCTTCCCCAACACACATGATTACAATTTAAGTCCCCCATAATAAAAAGAGGTTTGTTAAATGACTGAATAAAGTTAGACCAATTATTTTTGGAAATAAGGTTGTCGCCTGGGCAATAAATATTCACTAGATTTAATTGGCAGTGGGGGAGATAAATGGCTTGAACTTGAGTTGGAAGGTCTAGAGAGTAATCTATTAGAAGAGGCTGAAAATCTAAATTGTTTTTAATTAAACAGACTATACCTCCATAGCCATCAAATCTGTCATTTCTCAATGTTTGGTAACCTCTACATCTTAAGCTATGATCTTGCTTCATCCAAGTTTCATTAAGTAGGATTATGTCTGGATTGTGGTCCTTAATTAGGATCTTTAGATTATCTATGTTTGAGTTGAAAGAGCGAATGTTCCATTGAATAATGGTTAATGGATCGAAGTAGATAATAATAATATTTAGTACTCTGAATCTTTAGAGTACTTTATATTGATAGTACCGTTGCTTCTGCGTTGAAAAGCTTAGGGTTCTTAATTCGTAATACTCGTTCTTTTACAAACTCTCAAAACTTAGAGATCCTTTACTTTTCTTTAGTTCGTTCCAAGCTAGAATATGCATCTCTTATCTCTGGAACCTTAATAACAATATTCATATGAGATCATTGGAAAATGTTCAGCGGCGATATCTCAAGTACCTTTTATTTAAAATAGATGGGCTCAATCCCATTCGAGGTATTAACAATCTCTGCTGCTTTCGAGGTTCAGCATACCATCTTTGGAAAATAGAAGGGTAGTTTCCAGCGTGTCATTTGTTTATAAAATATTACATACCACTATTGATGTACCATTTTTGATAAAACAAATAAATTTGATTATTCCCCAAACAGTCATTAGATATCATAAAACATTTTTTATACAGCAAGTATTTGAACGAACTTGAGAAGAAATTCGCCTATAACGCTAATGTGCTCAAATTTTAATTAACACTTTGACGGACACTGCGCCGCTAGTGTCATAATGTGTTGTGACACTGAGCATATTTTGCAAAGTAATATACAAAAGTTGCTGAATTTCATTAACCTATTCTAGAAGGGGGATTTATATCTGCGATATAACTGGAGGTCGAAAAAATCATGATTCCTATACTTTCGTTATCTGTATACAGATAGGAAAGTAAAAATTGTTTTCTTACGTTTACTGGTCTATATTTAATTTACATTAACAAGTGCAATAACATGTACCTATTAAAATGTAGAATTGATAATTAGTTTTACTTAATAACGGAGAGAGTAGTGTTGAATTATGTCTACAAAGGATTTGTTTATAACCGATAGGGAAAAAGTAAGAAAAGAATGGGGAAAAAATGCTTCAGAAGTGAAGGAGTACATTCAAATTATCAGGGAGTGGATGAAAACTCAAAAACATCTTCCAGAAATTTCGGGTATGTACTTAACTTTTGATTATGGAATAATTAATTTTCAGATTTTAATTCAAATAGTATATTACATACCAAGGTGGGAAGAGTTTCATTCCTGTCGTGAGATTAGTTAGATCGCCGAGACGCGTCGAGACAGGAATTAAACTTCCTACCGAGGTTTGTATACTATTTTATTTACAACCATCATATTTCGATCAAAGTTAATAAATCTCTGTTTTGTTCTGAACATACCTAAAATATTACATTTAACGACAAATTACCAAGCGCGCGGTTTTCTCAGAATAATTAAGTAGGTAAATATATTGTTACTGTGATTACGGGGTAAACAACTGTCACCAATATAAATAAATGTCAGATAAAGCCGGATATTAAATTCGCGAATAATAAATATAAAGTAGTTTGTTATATTTTAGATCATTGTTGTTTTTTATTGTTTGCCATTAAATAGGTATTATAAAATTTGTCAAACACTGTGTTATTTTTTTTTTTTAAATATAAAAAATATTCATCTAGAATAGATGAAATGAGGGCGGGAAGTGAGGGCGAGAAGTGAGGGCGGGAAGTAGAGGTGTGTAATGTGACACTTCCTAACCTTCAATGACGTTAGTAATGACAACATTACATATATGGTTGTAAATAAATACTATTACAAACGCTATCATAAAATTCATACAACCAGAGTTGGCTGGTTTATAATTAGTTTAGTTTTCGTGTTTTTGACTGTTTACGTTATAATTATTTATAACCAAATAATACAGAATACAAAATTAAAAATAACATCCGATTATTTTTATGATCCAGAGTTAAATTTAACCAATTTTTTACATAATAGGCCCTTTATATATAAATAAAACACAAATTTTCTTATTAAAGAGTTATTAAATTCTAGCAAACAGAGAACAAAAAAATCAGATGATTTATCATTGGAAATTAAGGCGAACTTTCCATTTAAAAAAGTATCAACCATTGTTAAGCATTTTTGACAAACTTTCAACTGTTGAGTCCCAAGTGGGAATTTTCATTAACATTCTTTTGGCGATAGCCTTAGTGAAGCCCAGTGTCATATTAAGGGTCACATTGTCAAAATATTTTCCAGAAATTTTTGCCTTTTTTTGATTTAAGTATAGCGATGCTAAGTTTTTAAATTGTCATTTCGTGAAAGTGGAGGCAGGTATAACAATTATACGATTATTATACCTAACACTCTGTATAATTGTATATTTTAAGTTGTATCTTAAGATCATAATAATTTATTGTCCATTATAAAGGAATATGTTTGCAGTATTAGCGGTCTATTCTGTAACAATTCCTTTATATTTAAAGGCCTTTAAAAATATTTTCTCCTTTACTTCTGTCATTATTTAAACGGATCTTTTAAATACATTAGAAGGCTATCTTAAAGAAATCTATTTAAATAATGATAGAAGTAAATTAACGAAAAAGAAACTATTTTTAAAGGCCGCCAATATTTTTAAAGGCCGTTAAATATAAAGGAATTGTTACAGAATAGACCCCTTAATACTTTGTTTTTGGTTTTTGTTTGTATTAAATTGTGTTTTCAATAAACCAATCATTGAGGTCCTCAATTAAACCAATATATCCTATATTTTATGTTGCATAAATTTCTCAAGTATTTTGTACCGGTTTTCAAAAAAAACTTTTTTTATTCACGTGTATTAAAAAATGTAAGTTTTATAGATCTAAATTTGTCTTGTGAGACAATGAAACCTCTGGAATTTACAAAAATTATATTTTTCAAATTATTTCCCTTTAAAATTAATAAATTTTCCTAATAATTTATACGCAGATACAGCATGATAACATAGAGTGGCCATATGAGACTAAATCAGGCGATTAAAGAGGATGGGGTAATAATTTAAGGTATTTTAGGGTCATGTATCTTTTTGATCCTTTGTGGTAAGCCATTATGATCAAACGTTGGTTAGACTTTGATTCATCAAGCAATTTTGAAAAATAACTTCGGAAGGCTACCAGGCACTCGGTCTCTACAGATAGTCGATCAGGATCATTCATTGGTCAAAAAGGTTCAACTTTGAAAACCTAAATTTTCGAATACCTATCTTTGATTAGTATTTATCTTCATGCATCTGTTATTATTTACAGACAGGAAATATTATTATTTTCCTTATTAACTACCACTTTTTCAAGAAGACGTTCAGAAAAAGTGGTTATTATCTATTTATCTGAAAATCAAAGGAGGTCCTTTCGCCACCCCTTTCGCCAAAAATGTTAAATAAAAAATATTAGATCATAATCTAAATCTAAAATTAATTTTTTTCTAATAGTTGAAGTCCTTATCTATCTAATAGTGAACATTTAACTATACCTTACCCTGCAAATTTTTGAGATTTGTACAGTGTACAGAACGAAGTGTTCTTTGCATTTCATGGTCATCTACAAATGCTTGAACAGCCAAACATTCCATCATGTTTTCTGGAGCTGACGGGTAGGCAAATTGCATCATCTTCGCAATATCTAATTCAAATTCTTGAAGGCTCTCGCCACGTTTCTGTTTGCGATTCTTTAACTGTGACTGGTATAGATGCTCCAAATGTTCTTGGCAATATCACATGTTAAGTCTCTTTTTCAGTTGTTCAAAATCATCTGTCTCTTCCACGGGTATAGTCTGAAGGACATCTAAAGCGTCTCCTCGAAGGGCGATTGTCAGATTCACTGCCTTTTCTCGTTCAGACCACTCGTTTGCTCTAACAGCTGTTTCGAACTGCTTAAGGTAGTTCGTCCAAGACATCTTCCTGTCAAAAGTTGGGGCTTTAACACGAGGAGAGTTTACAGCTCCTTCCAATTTGAACTTCGACACCACCTCATGGCACTTAATTTCAACATCCTTGGCCGGGTCTGAATGTTCCAGTTCTTCTATCTTCTTTTTCATGTCTTTTATTTTCTCTTCAACGGAAGACATTATTTTCTCCTCAACAGAAGTCATCTTATTTTCCACATCAGCAGAAATTTCCCATTTCAGAGAAGACATTTTGTTTTCCATGTCGGCAGAAATTTCGTCTTTTAAAGAAGAGATATCAGAAGAAACTTTAGTTTCTAAAGAAGAGATTTCGTTTTTCACGGAAGACATATCAGAAGACACCTTTTCTTCTAAGGAAGAAATATCACTTTTTATAGAAGAAACTTCTGAAGAAACTTTATTTTCCATAGAAAACATTTTACTTTCCATATCGGAAGAAATTGAAAAAATTATAGCAGATGCATCATCCGAAAATAAAAACGTTTCCGGATCCAAACCTTCATTTTCTAGTGCTTTTTTAAGTCGTTCTGCCAGCTCTGATTTCTTCCCTGCCGTCTCCAGTTCACGTTCTTCTAATTCTCGACGTAGCTCAGGCACTTTTAAATCACACAGTCCTTTAGTTTATTTATTTAAAAACACACTATTTACAATTTATTTCTGACGTACTATTTAATTTATATAATATTTGAACACTAACTAACAATTCTTATTTATTTCTTACACTTTTACTTTTCAATACAACGTTGTATATTAAAACTAAACTCGGTGCTGATACGTCGTCTATTTATATTAGTCTAAGTCCGCTACTGGAAAATGCTAGAGACTTCGCGAAGATGACTAAATGGCACTCCCCCGCCATTCCAGATGTTTCGAGTGAATCAGCGGCAGACATTCGAGAGCGGTCCGTCTGTTTCCACACGTCAGCGTTTCTTTGGTCACAAGTTGATTGCGTGCGTATACAGGGTCGGCTTAGGAATTCATGACAGTAATATGAAATCTGTTTTCTGAAATATGTATTTGATGCTTAATATTTAATAAAGCCCCTTAATGCGGATCTGAAGTATTCAGCCCAAAGGGTCATGGCGCTTTATGTCAAAACGTTAATAAATATTTACCGCTGAAAACGAATATATTCATATATATTTCATAACATTGTATTATAAGTAAACACAATTTTTCAAGATAAATCGTGACATTTTGAACTTAAAATTGAATAACTAGAACACTTTAAATTGTTAAAACACCAACAAATAAATCAAAAAACAGCTGTCAATCGTGATTGAACTCAGGCGGAGGTGAGCGTTGAATGGAGAAATCGGAGCAATTCGGGTGGTGTCATGCAAACAATAATTTCCGATTGGAGGGTTACTTAAAGTTAAAATAGACAACAAGCGCAGTATGCAATATTACGTCTTCGGTCTCTTTAATCTAAGCTTAAAACCTACCTGGCAAGTCTGCAGGTTTCTCTTTTATCTTATATTTCCTTAAATTTCACAAGGGAATGTTCTTTATTTAGGTTTATAACTACCGATATTGTTAGTCCAATAGAAGGGCCAGGTCCAAAAAGTATTTGATTGGCTGCCTCCTTGGTTAGTGAATCAGCAAGACCTTTCAATGTGGCGTCACTTTTGATCCATCTTAAGTTGACCGCATTGTTGATGGATACATCGGCCAAAGCTTCGGGACACAATAGTATTTTCTAGTACTAACCCTGAGTAAATTCGTGGTCTTTCTAGGGTCAGTAGTGCTTGTCTACTATCAGAGTAGATAAACATGTTTCATTCGGTGATATTATTTCTGGTAATTATTTTTGCTGCTATGAATATCTCCGTGAGATTCGTTTGAGCTTTACTGGCACTACTACGCACATCCTATTTTATGTTTAGGTTTAAGGATCTGGAGTATGTTCTACATCCTGAGCCCTATTTTGTTTTATGTCGGTGTAGAGATAGATCGTATGGTAATGATCGTATAATTTTCGCATAATGAACTATTCTCCAAAGCCATTACTGAATGTAGTTCTTCTGAAACCACTTATATTAACACAAAGAAAATATTCTCGCTCTTGAGATTGAAAGAAAATTCTAAATGATTTGCCTCTTTTGTATTCTAAAGACAATATACGAGTATTCATTTTGCCTGGCTAATGGCTATACATACCACAACCTCATCGTAGATAGTCATGAATTTCATGACTCACATTTCTACGCTACGTATTAGTATTAAGTTTAAATCTGCCTAAGACAGATATAATCGAATTAAATTACGGGTTTTGAGCTTACATTAAATTGTAATTAGATGAAACAAAATGGATTCTATGTATTTTGAGGTGATCTTTTCGAAAAAAGGCAAAACAAAATGTAGCAGTTTTGCGAAAGTGCCGAAATTTTGGATTTTGTCAATTTTTCAATTTTGCGCAGGCGCATGTCGGAAATAAATCAATATTTTTATGGAATTTTGATCCGATGCACCGTTCTCGCGGTATGAACGATTGAAATTTGTTTAGTATTTTGAGGCGACGAAGGTCGAAAAATTGAATTTGTTAAATGTTCAAACACTAAATTCTTTATAACATTGGTAAAAATTAAGATATTTGAAAAAACAAAAATGCATTTTGAACTTAAGGGATGTGACTAGTGATTCCCAGAAGGGGGCAAGAAAAATCCCAAAATTGGGCATATGGCGGAAGGGCAAAATGCACCGCGGTCCTAATTTCATTGTTTGCCTATAACGGCCAAACTATTTGATTTTTTTTTAATGTCACTTACAAAGCTTACTCTTAAATGTGAAATCTTATGTGTGTGTGAATTTCACTGACATCGGACCATAATTGGCTAAGATATCCAACAATTAAAGTTTGAAGTGGCACAAAAATGCCAAAAATGCACCCAATGGCTCAAAACTTTTTTTTTGAGTACTCTATTGTGTCTAGAATACGATAACATTACAGAAAATTCTGCAAATATATTTTATCTATTTTTTTGACCACTGTTCATTGAGTGACGACCAAAAAACACGGTTTTTGAGAAAAGTTGCCTAAAATTGACAATTTTTAGTTTTTTTGTCTGAAAATTAAACAAACCCAAATTTCATGTCTTCCAAATGTGTATACAAAGTTTAAAGTGTGTACGTTTCTTCTAAGTTGTAGAATTCTCCCGACAAAAGTCCCATTACACGCGCTCCGCGGGATCCAAAACTCGTGTATACACTACATTACTGTAATTTGATTTTTTTGCGATTTCCAGTTTTAAATTTCTTGCATATCTAAATTTATTCGGCTTTAAATTTATTAAATTGTATTTTACTGACTTGTTATAAGACGTTTCTTGAGTTTTGTGCAAAATATAGAAATACCAGATATTAGCGAACAAAAAGCAAGCTTATCACCAAGTTGGAACTTACACTCAGGCTTAGGATTAATTTCCTTACATTTTTAAAGTACACCTTTTTGTGTATTTTTGTGTGGTCTTTTCGATGGCGAAGTTAGTTTTTTCAAATATATTTATTTTGTTAGATATTTTCGGAAAACCCGGAAAAAATCACATGGGAAAAAAATTTAAAAAAACTACGCTTCTGGTTTCCTGCGAATTCCCGAAAAATTATGTCAGATTTCGCCGCGGGACTTATTTTATTTGAGAGCCAACAAAAAAATACGCAACTTCTCTTATGGGCACATATGTCTATCATTTATAATTTCGCCACAAATTCATCGCAAATTTCATGTCCATGGTTCTGATCAAAAAAACGAAAAAACGACTTTTTGGTAAAAGCACTTCTGGCGGCGAGAAATTCGCCATTAAAACTACCTGTGCAATGAATTTCCGAACTATTTTTGCCTCCTCTTTCGAATGGTGCATTTATTTTCACTATCAGAATGATACTTGCCCAGATAAATAGCATTTTTACAATGGAAAATTCCGGAAAACCCGGTTTTTCCTAATTTAAAAAAAGTTGAAAAACTGCTACATCTTTTTTTTCTTTTTTTCGGAAAGATCACATCAAAATACACAAGGTCCTTTTTGTTTCATCCAATTACAAATTAATGTAAGCTCAAAGGGGCTTTTTTTCGTTATTTAATTGGACTAATAAGCAACGTTTGTTAATTTTAACCTAAATTTAAAAATTAGTGAATATAGTGATTATTATATAATATTCCTCCTGAACTGAAAAATGGTGTAAACATTTTAAATTAAAACATGCCTAACGTAATTAAGGTTAAATATTTTAATTTTTTCGAAGTTTCATTTTACTGTATTTAACTCCTACTTTATCTATGGCCGTGAATAAAGTACAGTATGATACTCTGTTGGGATAAAACTCAAATACTCGTGGTTCTTTACACTCGTGTTCTAAATCTTTTACTAGTATAATATGTTCATTCCAACATTGTAACAGAATATACCATTCTGCAACTCAACTCTATTTTTTTTTTCTTTTTTCAGATGACAATATGATCGAATTTGTTTTAACCAACTGTAAATACAGCATTGAAAAAACGAAACAAAACCTGGATATGTATTACACAATACGGTCTCTTATCCCAGAATTTTTTAAAAATATTCATCCTACAAAATCTGATTTGCCAAACACACTTTCCAAAGTGACGTAAGTTAATACATTCCTCATATTTAAACAACGTACATTTGATCAGCAAAAATATAAATTGTTCACCTATTCGAATAGTAATTTTATGCACGCCTAGAACACTACAATTTTTCTACTACTCAAAATGAATAAAACACAAATCACACTTCATTTTTATAATTGACACTATAAGTTTTAAAACTGCTCAACTGGAAGCTATTTTAAAATCAAATAGGACTATCTTAAGTATAGTAACCTTTATAGTACAAAAATACAAACAATATAAAATAAAAAAAATGAAAATAATTCCAACTCAAACGTTACGAAGAACTGAAATAAAATAAACAACCATGTGTCACAAAAATACGAGCGACCGCTTCCCTTCATAAAACAACTACTCTTTGGCTAATACCGCAATAGAGGTATTGAATTATATCCAAAGAAAAAACAGCATAGATATACATTTAATTTCAACACTCTACCTTTGATTTTGTGTACTACGGAGAACGCCATTTTCGAACTAGTTTCGTCCTAATTAGAACTCATCAGCAAGAAGTAGATAGGTTCTCAATTCCAGTTTCTAATGTAATTGGCAAAATAATTAATCAAGTAGTGAAAATGATAAAGCCATCGGCTCCTAGTAAGCAAAATCAAAAATTTCTTGCAGTTAGAAAACTAGGTGGAATCAAAAAACCAGGTGGGCAATTTTAAAAATGCAAAATAATTCCAATTCTATCAAGAAATCACACAAAATACAATCGACCGTTTCCCTTCGGAAAACAATTACTCCTTTTTTAAAATTCTAACTTCCGGTTCTCACCAACAAAAGAAAGTTCCCCTCTTACCTGATTACGCGCAATATTTAAATAATTATACCTAATTGGCTAATGCACCTGATCCATTGTAGGGGTGGTTACGCATTTCCCAATCTACCATTATGCAACCAGTATTACACATAACTGTACATATGGTTGAGTTTATTTACAATACATTCTAATGTTTTGGATGGTTCCAGAACAAATTGCACGCCAGGCTTTTTGGTTCTATCCAGGGGCTGGTAACTCAAATGGAAAAACATGAGGACGGTAATTTAGTACCACTCCAATTAACGGGATGGCGCTCGTATCGAAATGTCATGTCAGTTGTCAGCTTGTCAACAAAATTTCATACTTGGAAAAATTAAAATGGCTGTCGCATTTGAAGGTGTATTGAATTTTGATTCATCTAGATTTATTTTTCAACACCTTCCAATTTTAAGCATGTTTTCAAGAGATGGGAACATGGATTTCAGCAACGAACAATGAAGCACTCCCAGATATTGGTAGTGATGCAATTTATAGCAGGTATTAAATATGCGGTCGTCATATTAAGGATAAACATACAATTTGTAATAAGTGTCTTAAGAAAAATGCATCTTGTACTGGCATATCAATGGTAAGTAATATTTACAAACTTGTTTTTGATTCAGTGTTAAAATAATTGGTTTGTTATTTAAATTTCTTTTCGTTTTCAGTTTTTAAATGATCATTGTTATAAAGAAAATGTTGGCCCTTCAAAATACCTTGTAGATCGATGAAATATTTGAGCCTTAGCCATCAATATCAAAATTAGATTCAATGCCATTGACATCAAACAAGAAAACACCCCAAAATCTTCAAAGGTCCAAACGTGTGTAAGTTTAATTTAAGCTCGAAAGTTAAATTCATTTATCACAGTGCTCAGATGATGAATAAGAATTTGATAACTACAGGTGCTGTACAAATAAATCAATAAAACAATATCGGATGAAGAAATGTTCCTCAACTTAACTAGTCGACTCAAGCATATGGCAAATTTTATCCACCCTCAAATTCGCCTTGATTGTAAGACACCAGAAGGATGATGCTTCAGTTTTTTCAAACTTATTGCCACTCCAAGTTGCAAAACTGTTATATTGGTCTTGAGCACTTAAATATGTCGAGTTTGTTACAGAAAACCTATTTCCATGTTTAAATAGACAAATTATATGATGCGGCGTTAATTTACTGTAATAAAAAAAAATAAATAAAATAAATTGCATTTTATTTCAAGTTTGAAATTAATGCAAAAATATAATGAAGAAAATCAAACAAAAAAAATAAATTGGCAAAATATTTGACTAGTTTCAAATCACAAAACAGTCAATATGGTTGTTTTATGATTTGAAACTAGTTAAATATTTTGCCAATTTATTTTTTTTGTTTGATTTTCTTCATTATATTTTTGCGCGACTAGCAGAAAGTTAAATTTTAAAAATCCCGCGCTAAGCGGCCATATTGAATTTTAGTACCACTCCAATTTGACTCCACATCGACTCAGGATATTACCATTGAGTTTCCCATCTATTCACATTAGTAATCTATGGTTCTATCATTGTCTAATGAATATATAGACAATGGTTCTATCTAGTTTTCTAACTGGGTACCTTTGAATTTGCTTATTAGGAGCAGATGGCGTTACCATTTTCAATGCTTGTCTACTTATACTCTTCGTAACCAACGATATTGTATACTAGTGAATTTGGTGCATTTGCTAATTCCATTAGAGACCGGAATAGATATCCTATCTGTGTCTTGATGATGAATCTTAATAAGGACGAAACCGACGAAACCAGTCCTAGAATGACGTTATTTTTAGTACAGAAGAAGGAACAATAGAAAAGAAAGTAATGGTCGGAACTTTGAAGTAGAAGGGATAGAAATATTTGACCTTCATTTTCACCACAGAGATACTCTGAGAAAACGTAACTATTCACAGTACACGCGAACGTAGCTATTCACTGAACCTACACTGAAAAAATTACATTTCTCTTTTTCAGAATTATGTGTCATTTTATGAGAATTTGCATGAATGCATTTTAAACTATTCTCGATTTAAGTAATATATTTTTTGATTTGTAACACTTCCGATACAGGTTTTAAACATAAAACTTATAAAGTTTTAAACAATAGTTTATTCATATTTTAAAAACGGTAAAAAAACAGTTGAGAAACTATGTACTCAAATTACGTACATGTTTAGTTAGACTTATATTGTCTAAAAAAAGGATCTCACACCAATGACACATATTTTGTTAAAACTATTACATAGTATTCATAACACAACAAAATCGTTTTAAGTGTTTGAAAATTAGAATAATTAAAATTGTTTACACATATTTATAGAGCAAGCCTAATTTATGATACATAGATAAGTAGCTTTATTAAAATAGCTACATCTTAATATACAACAAAAATATAAAATACTTATATAAACGGTACTTATAAAGAATATTAAATAATGAGTAATTATTTTTCTTCTTTTTTGCACCAAACAAACATTTCCTTAACATTGCAATCTTTAGTCGTAGTTTCTGCTTTCTTGGCGTGTTGGATGATAACACACTACTCGTTTAAATGTGTGCTGTTACACAAGGTAGAGGAACAGATGGTTGACTATGCACTTGTTCAATAGATTCTACTTCTGCTGAAGTTAAGGGTAGACACAATTTGTCTTTGCCTTTTTCGCCATGAACAAGAAATTCCTCTAAAAAAAAAAAAAGAAAAAAGAGAAACCAAATTTTTATCAGATCAACTAATGTCAAGAATTATTTGTCAGAATTAAATGTTTGCGTCATCCTTTTTAGCCAGATAAAATTTAAAATAATTTCGTAAAATATGAATATGTTTCTGTGCCTAGGTAAACTGCACTATGTCACTTTAATTTTACAACTTTTTAGTTTCGTTTCGTTTGAAATATTTTATTTAATAATTAAGCTAATGTATGAAATTTTTGTCATCTCTATTAAATTAGACGTTTAGAATACATATTAAGTTATTTTAAAATACAGTAAAATGAGTGGAAGACACTTGTGTGCCTCAATGCAATCCTGGTATAATTATTTCATGAAAAAAAAAATGGCATTCTGTTATATTTCATCGGTTTCCTAAAACCGGTAGATGTAAGGTAATTTTGTAATATAAAAGTGGAAAATCTGAACTTGTGGATGCATGAAGAGTATGCTTCAAAACTTGAAAATAGGGAAGCAAAATTTATAAAAGGAAAGTTTGTTCTCAGCATTTTAAAGATTTATAGGTACTTATAAAGGTAATACCTAGGTATATTTTTCATTTAATGTTCATTTAATTTTTTTTATATTGCAACTGCCACATCTCAAATAAAAAGAAACTCTCTTTTAAAACTGCCAGTTGTTAAGAAACATTCTTATGACTCTGTTCCATCTACTTCAAAAACTAACAAAGACTAATAAAAATAACTCAAAATAAAAAAAAATTCCAAGTAGTTTAAATGTAATAATTAGAACACACAATAAGGGTTAGTTAATGAAATTGATTTGTTTCAAGATAAACTAGTAACTCCTCCCGAACAAGACATAGAAGATGCAAATTAATATTTTGCAATTAATAAAAAGTGTTGACAGTAGTTAGTGTACAAGTGAAAATAGTAAAAAGTAAAGTTTTACCATGTATTGATTTATTAGAGTTTAAAAACTAAAATAGTGTAAAATTTACATTAATCATTACTTTTGGAAACTTGATTTATAATAAATCTAAACCTACCAGAGTAACCAAAATTTCAAAAACATTACTTAATGTTATATTTTTAAAAACTGGTTATCATGCTGGGAATATAGAGATCTCATACCTCTGCTGATCACTGCTTGTTTGTAAATTTGCTGAACAGGAAACTGACCACAAAAATGGGCCATGTTCACATGTAAAAGATATTGTTAAGAGTGAGATTATAGGCCTTTTGACTTACTCTTAAGTCCACTCTTAGCGGTAACCACGAGTTATATAGAGGGGCCCAATTTGTATTTAAATGGCCTCTAGACAACACACGGCTAGGGAGTTAAGTTCAGAATGAACCCTAACTTTCTGACGATGATTCAGAGGGCGGGGAAAGGGTTTGTCCTACAGGAACTATTCCCTTTGGCAGTTTTCTCTCTCTCTTTCTCTCTCTCTCTCTCTCTCTCTCTCTCTCTCTCTCTCTCTCTCTTTCTT